AAAGCTCCTACTCAGAGCTATAAATATATAAAACATAAAATAATATGACAGTAAACAACAAAGTTGTATTGTATAGCATAGGAAACTATATTCAATATCCTATAATAAACTATGATGGAAATGAATTTTTTAAGTGACAGAAGCAAATCTTAATTTAAATGTAAATACAATAAATGCAATTGCATTAAATTCAAAAGTAAAAGGCCCAGACTCTAAGACCAGTTAAAAATCCAACAATATGATTTACCAAGGCATATTATTATTTTTAAAAAAGGAATGGTTTAAAATAAGATAGAAAAATCTATGACAGGTATTTTTGAACTAAAAGAATCCAGAAGATAGTAATTCCTAATATCCAATGTAATAGACTTAAGGAAAAAAAGATTGTAAGAAAGAGACAAAGATATTATGACATATGGAACACAGAATAGAGAATAGATTAAGGAAATTATAAATGTTAACTACTGCCTTGTGACCAGTTTCAGAAATAAGGATTGTATTAGCTATACCCATTTTCTTTCTTGATTACAGAAAATCATATTATGACTGTGCAGATAAGATATGAACGTTTCCCAGGGACTGATGAAGTTCCTGATGAGACACTGGGTATTCCCCTTCACAGACAAAGTGAGAAATTTTTTTCCTATAATGACAAGTGAGTTATATTAAGTGGGAACATTTCATTGCTATTGGTGTTTTTTTAAGTATGGAAAGGTTGTATGAATAACTAGTATACAAAATGATGGAATGTGTATTGGTTCACTACTTTCCAATCCCCTTCTAGTGTGCCTTCTTATACTGCATAGGCTGGAATGCTCAAGACTACATTTCTCTGACTCCCCTGAAGCTATATAGTTCAAACAGATGCATCCACATGAGTCTGGAAAGGAGGAAATGAGAAATGTGAGGCAGAAGATATGCCCATGGGTAAATCAGCTCTTCTTGCAAGCAGTCTGAAGGCACTTGGTTCTTCTGGGGCAGCTCTGGCAGTGACTGCCATTTCTATTTCTAATGTCATAGTATCAGGAAGCGGCAGCACTGACAATTCTATGACTATAGCCAGGTGATGTAGCTGGCAGTTTCCCCTGGTCACTAATGTACTAAACTTTCAGCAACTAAACATGATTCCCTGGACCACCTAGAGATTCATCAGCCATCTAAAGTTGTCTAATAATGTCCCTTCTGTTTAAACTACCCAGAGTGGATTCTATTCTCTACAAGTAACAATATTGATTACAGAAGACTATTATCTGTCCTTCACTACCTTGTCTCCCTTTCTTCTTTGGTAATAGAACGTGCAGCTATACACATTACTATCTTATTTAATGGGCTTCCCTGGTAGCTCAACTGGTAAAGAATCTGCCTGCAATGCAGGAGACCCCAGTTTGATTCCTGAGTTGAGAAGATCCCCTGAAGAAGGGCTAGGATACCCACTCCAGTATTCTTGCCTGGAGAATTTCATAGATAGAGGAGCCTAGCGAGTTACAGTCCATGGGATCACAAAGAGTCGGACACAACTGAGTGACTCTCACACACACACACACACACACACACACAGTAGCCAGCAGACTGCAGCCGCTCCCTATGCTGAGCCCTGAGGAAACTCAGGGTGTGAAAATATAGGATGCTGACTCCAGATAGCTGTGGTGAATATCAAAGGAATAATTTCAGTTAGCCCAGACTCTTGCACCTTCCCATATATAGAAAAGCACTAAATTCCTTAACTTGACATATCTGGTTTCTTTAATTAACAGTAATCTTTTGATGTTTCTGACTACCTGCCCTTTGTTAGAAAACTCCTGTATATCCTAGCTCCTCCTCCTGCCTCCTCAACGCAGTTTCTCAGAGTTATCTGAAACACTGTCTTCTGGGTTGCAGTCCTCATTTTCCCCCATGTGAAACTTGAGACTCTCATGTTGTGCATTTTTTTAAAGTCAGCATTAGCTCAGTAAATAAAGAATCTGCCTGCAGTGCAGGAGACCCAGGTTCGATCCCTGGGTTGGGAAGGTCCCCTGGAGAAGGAACTGGCAAAGCACTCCAGTATCCTTGCCTGGAAAATCCCATGGACAGAAGAGCCTGGTGGGCTGCAGTCCATGGGGTCTCAAAGAGTTGGACATGACTGAGTGACTAACATACACTATAGAACTCCTCACTATCTCTTCCAGGTCGGGACATACAGTTTTGAGGGCATTTTCCCTCTGTGGTCCCTTTTGCCTAGCAAAGCAATAAAGTCTGTTCTTTTATACTTTACCCAACATTTTGTCTCTAAGGTTCAACTCAGCACCAGGGTATAGAGGCCGAATTTTGGCTACACCAGCCTAGGTACTAGATCTGTGAATGAAGAAACCTCCAGATGATTCCAGTTTCCAGCAGTTCAAATCAGTCTCAGCCACAAGAATCTTCCCAGTTAGACTCCAGACACTGTAGAACAGAAACAAACCATCTCTGCAGTGACTAGTCAAATTCTTGACCCATGGAATCCACGAGCATAATCAACGTTTTTTGATATATGCCTCAATGTTTGGGCTGGCATGTTACACAGGAATAGTAATTGGAATATTTTGTAACCAAATCTCTCAAGAGCTGTCTATTCTCATCATCTCAATTTCTCCATCCCCACATAGTCCAATCATCTGGAATTTGCTCCTTTAAATCAAGCTTAACAGTGTTCTCTGAAATCAATGATTTCCAAGTTGTTAAGTCTAATAGAGACGTATTGAACATTAATGTTCAGTTCTTCCTTCTTGAATTACTCTTTTAGTTTTTACAATACCACACTATCCCACATATCTTCCTTTCACTCTAGTTACTTCTTAGACTCAATCACAGTTTCACCTTCCTCTAGCCAGCCACTAGATGAAGTTGGTGATGGCTTGGTTCTGAGTTTCTCCTCTCCTTACTTCATATTCTCTTTCTCCATCTATATCTATGGTTTTAATTCCCACCTATATAACAGGATGACATTTTAACCTCCAACAATTTCATCTGTTGTATAAAGCTATAGGGCTATATGTCCAAATGCCTTTTCATATTTTGTACCAGGTAGGGTTCTTAGTTGCACCAAGACTGGCCTTGGCTGATTAAACAGAAGTGAATTATTAAAAGTCCACAGATTCACAGGAAGAGCAAAGTGCAGGGGCTGGAGCCTATGCTAACCAGGCAGAAACAACAGCCAAGGCATAACTTAGAACTGGCCTGGTGAGGATACCAACATTTCTCCATGGCGGCTGGCCCCACTGATAGCCCTGGCAGTGGATGCCTTGGAGATACTGTCTTGCTGCAACTGTCACCATGGCTAGAAAAGATTCTTTGAGTTTTCCTTCTTCTTACAGATCCCTCTTCAAAGTCCCTGGAGGGTGCATCTGACTATCAAAGTGTAGACCATGGCCATTATCTTAACCACAAAGGATTCTGGGAAAGCAAACCACTGGCATTTCCAGATTCTGTTGCAGATGGCCAATTTCACCTCCCACCAGTTACTCATAATGTAAGGAATTCTCCAACTATATAAAAGAGTTTCAGAAGCTAGAGGGGGAAGTTGAGGGAAAATCTCTTATTATCTCTTCCTTGCAACAAAGAGTTTATCACTAATTTGATGTGCTCTGCTGAGGAAGAAGTTTGTAGAACTCTTTTGCATGTTTCAATTAAAGCTAAAAAAAAACCACAAACCTTTTGCTATAACAATGTCCAGGTCTTTCTGGGAGAATTATCAATGCGGATGCTAGTAAAATAGTCTCAGTACATCCAACATTCCTGATACCTAATGGTTTTCAAACACATGTTTAATGATCTGTGCAGAATGGTGTGAGGAAATGGAACTAAATAGCAAAATAACTGGAAAGTAATACAGAAGTGACATTAAGAGATAGTTGTCTTTTGTATCCTATGAACATGAGCCTGCCATGGGATTGCCTAGGCAAGAATAACGGAGTGGGTTGTCATTTCCTTCTCTAGGGTATCTTCCCCACCCAGGGATCAAAACTGCATCCCCTGCATTGGTAGGCATATTCTTTACCACTGAGCCACTAAGGAAGCCTTCCAGTAGAGAATATGGTCCTCAAAGCACATAATTAATTATGATGAAACCAAAGTTACAAACTTTGTCCAGTATAACTGAATATGACATAAAAGAGAAGTCCATCAAAGACTAAATATTTTGAAACTCTGAGTCTTTTTTGTTTGTTTGTTTTACTATATCACAGAACTTTTCAGTACTTTACTCCAACATAAGGAACTAGAAAACTAATTTATAAAATTGTTTCTATAGTAACAATGAAAATTCAGTGATTATAAAGATTTTAGCAAATACATAATCTGACATCTGAACTCTGAATATTAGGGACATAAATATATCAGAAGAAAGACTTGATGTACAATGAATTTTTGTATTTGAAAACACAAAACCTGCTATTCTTACTAGTTTTTTTATTTTCTCTGAACTTAACCAAGAATTATTTTCTCATACCTCAGCTTCTTGGATTAGCCTCTTCAAAGAAAACGCAATGCTTGTGACCTGTAGAGATTTAGAAAAGGTATCCCCAACTAAAATGAGTGCCTCAATAAAAGGAAAAATTCTGTACAGATCTCTTCCATTTGACGCTGCTAAACTTAAGTACAATAATGTCACATGTACTTATACAGTAATTGTGGGCACGCCTAAGTCCCTCCCTCTTTCCTAAACCAAATTCCCCAGATCCTAGAAATCCAGCCCTTCTGCCCTCCGGAGGCGCCTTTCTCAACGTAAAGTACAATTTAAAATTTAAACTCCTGACTAAATAATGATTCCGTAGTCAACTGCTCGGGGATCTGGGCACCCCAGTGCCTCTGGAGCGTGCAGCGGGGTGTAGGGAAGGGCAGGGGGAGTGGGCGAAGCTGCTGGTTGGTGCCTGAAATCTGTGCGTTGCCCCTTTAATTGTGTCCCCAGCCCTCGGGCGTTTCTGTCCAACGCCCACGTCAGCAAATACCTTTTGTTTCTCTCACGTTGGGGCTACTTGTTTTAGGGCGCAAAGGAACGGCTTCAAAAGGGGGAATTTCCCCCGCCGAGAACCGGGAATCTTCCCCCAGCCCGCGCGCGCGACCCGCCGTTGCGCCGCGACCCGCGGTAAGTGGCTGCGCGCCGCGCGGGCGGAGGGCGGGCGGGGCGTCGGGGCAGCCTCGCACGGGCCCGCAAGCCTCGCTGCGGGCGGAGGCGCCGCGGGCTTTGCCCCTCGGGCGGCGGCGGCGGGATATGGCCCAGGCGCTGCGCCCCCAGACGTCCCCGGGTTGGGAGAGCAGCGGGAGGCGCAGAGGCAAGCGGGCGCCATTTGCAGCCCCGGGCACAGCGGCGGTGGCGCGCCGGCTCTGAGGGGCTGGAGACGGTCACAAAGGAGGCGCGGCCGGGCGGTCGGCGCCGAGGACCTGGCCTCGCGGCGGTGGCCGGCGAGGAGAGGCGGGCGGCGGCGGCGGCGGCGGCCGGGCGCACCGATTCCCGGACTGCGCGGCCGCCGCGCCCGCCCTGCCGCCCGGCCCTGTCCGCCTGCGCGCCCGGGAGGGGCTGCGGGACAATGGCCGCGCCGTCGCCGCCCGCGCCCGCGCGACCGCCCCCGCCGAGCGCCTCGCCCGCTTGGCCGCCCGGCTCGGCCCGGCCGTGGCGCGGGGAAAGGCGGGAAGGCGCGCGGAGCCTCCTGGCGGCGGTGGCGGGAAGGCGGCGCGGGGCCGGTGCCGGGCGTGTCTGGAGCCGTCGGGCGCCGCGGACTCCCGGAGGGTCGGCGGCCGGCGGGGCTCGGGCTGCGCGGCGAGTGATGGGTGGCCCGCCGGATGGGGCGGCCGAGGTCTGGGGCTTGTCACTTGCGGCCAGGAGTCCGAGTTTCTCCGAACATCTTCCATCCTTTGGTTTTATATCGTGACGCGACAGATCCGGGCTTAGAACCCAAGCAGACTTACTATACCTAATATCGTGCTGTAATTACTGTTTTATGACGGACTCACACATACGCACCTTCTGCCTATGTAGACGGCATCTTTTGTAAGTTAATAGCGGTTTGGCACCTTCGCCTTCAAATGCGTTTATTTATTATTGATTGTGCCAGTGGCCAGATTCTGTATCTTTCAAAGGCGGTTCCCCCCGCCCCGCCCCCGCTTTCGTTTTTCTTTCTAAATTGAAATATAGTAGACATATAACCTTATGTTGGCTTAGTCCAAAACGCGTTTGCAAGCGGTACAGTCTCACCTATTGGGCTTTTAAACGACACACATCAGTATTACTTCTGTTCTTAATAAACATTTATATTTGCAGAACTTTAGTAAATGGAGTGCTTTCGCCTATATGAATTATTTCAGTTATTTTCACATAAAACAACCATCCAGTTATTTTCACATAAAACAACCATCCAGTCAGGCCGGTGGTTTTTCCACTTTCTAGGTGAGGAAACGCATTAAGCATTTAAACGTTCAGCCAAGAGGTGAACAGTGGCAGGCTTCTAGCGCCCTTGCCTCCTGTTCTTGCTCATTTCCTCCTAAAGTCACCTCCAGAGTCTTTAAGTAAGCAAGTCATATCGTTCCCATGCTCTGAAAACCTTAACCGATCTTATCAGAAACAAGTCTTAAAATCCTCAGCAGAATAAACCTCAGGCTCAAAACTCTCTAATCTTCCCTGAGCCTCAGATAAGGTTGAGTTTGTGGGACCCCTGGAGCAAGAGCCCTTACCTGAAGGGCTGTCAGGCAGACTATAACCAGGAATCAGATACCTTTATTCCCGGGAGTACCCCTGGCCACACAAATGGTAAATGGGAAATGAGAATCCAACCTGCCACCCTCGGCCAAATGGGCATGTTTGGGTTAGGCTGTGAAATATTAGACCGAGGTGTAATTGACTTCTTTCGAGTCGTGAATTTCCGACACCATGAAAGAGGGCACTCTGCCAGAACTTATCTTGTAGCCTTGAAATCACTAGCTCTGCTGTTGATAATGATTTGAGCCCCCAAACTTTGTAAGATAAGTTAATACTTGATTCATCCTGTATCATTTAAATCTTATTTTCTAGATAAAATAGAATTTATGTCTAATAGGCTCAACCTTTTCAATGACCTAACTATCTGTTTATAATAATTAAAGGATTTGGTGTGAGTTTTTTGATCCCTTTGAGGAAAGTTCTTGTCACTTTTTTGCTTGGAATTGGTCAGTGGCTCCTCATCTTCAGTGGCTCCCGGTCTTACTCAGACCAAAAGCCCAAGCCCCTAAAGAGTCTACCAAGTCCTACAGGAACTGGTCCCATGATGTCCTGTGAAAGTTGCTCAGTCATGTCCAACTCTTTGCGACCCCATGGACTCTACTGTCCTTGGAATTCTCCAGGCCAGAATACTGGAGTGGGTAGCCTTTCCCTTCTCCAGGGGATCTTCCCAACCCAGGGACTGAACCCACGTCTCCCACATTGCAGGGAGATTCTTTACTAGCTGAGCCACAAGGGGAGACCCATGATGTCCTACTGCCCCACAATCTATTGTTCCTTTCTGACTCCATCTTTCATTACTCTCCCCAGCCCTCCATTTTCTAAATTTCTTTTAGCTCCCAAACTCGGGATACAACCCATACCCCCTACATTGGGAGGTATAACTCTCTCACCATCTTTGGACTTTACTTTAAATGCCATCTTCTCATTGAGACTTTCCTCAAATATGGCTTTTATTTTCTTAACATTTTTATATTTAATTCTGATTCCAATTTCTTAATTCTAATTTACAGGGCTAAAAGATATGTATCCATACAATTACCACACCAGTTTGCTGAAGTTTCTCATGGCCCAGGGATTTATCTCAAGAAGATTGAACTTTGTATTTGTGACCTTTGTATTGGTGATACATTAAATTCTTAATTAACTATGTACCTTTAAAAGGGGGCTTCCCTGGTGTTTCAGTAGTAAAGAACACACTTGCCAATGCCCGGGACACAGGAGATGCAAGTTCGATCCCTGGAGGAGGAAATGGCATCTCACTCCAGTATTCTTACCAATGTTCCATGGACAGAGGAGCCTGGCAGCCATAGTCCGTGGGGTCACAAAGAGTCAGACGTGACTGAGCGCACATGCACCTTTAAAAAGGTGCCCACAACCCAGGTCTAGCCCACAACTGTAATAAGAGTTATATTTGTTACCTAAATCTTTCCTTTACTTGTGGAAATGCTATGTCTTTTCCTTCTATTCCAAAGACTTTTTAACTTAATGATTCCTAAAATATGTATATTGTCTTTTTCATCCACCTTTAAAGGTCTTGAACTTGGTGGGAATCATTAATTCTTTAATATTCTTAGGATTATTATAGATTAAACTCTTACAGATATTTAAAATGTTTCAAATTTAACTTTTATGTATTTATTTTTGGCTGTGCTGGATCTTTGTTGCTGTGTGCGAGTTTTCTGTAATTGTGGCAAGTGGGGGCTACTCTCTAGTTGTATGGGAAATCTCCCCGGGCCAGATACTGAACCCATGTCCCCTGCGTTGGCAGGCAGATTCCCAACTACTGGGCCACCATGGAAGTCCTCAATTGAATTTTGACTGTCTGCATGAACTAGTATAACTAGCTGTTTCAATTTATAAGGTCAATCTACTGAAAAGAAAATTTGAAACATATTACCCATTTTCATGACTTAATCACATACTTTGAGAATAACCTAAACCTTTCCTGATGACTCAAGAATACAATTATGGCTCTTTCCCTCCAAGAAGGCGTCAGAGGCAGACTATACAGCCATGGCCAAGATAAAGGCTCAAGACCTTCGTGGCAAGAAGAATGAGGAGCTGCTGAAAAAGTTGGAAGACCTGAAGGTGGAGCTATCCCAGCTGCGGGTGGCTAAAGTGACAGACGGTGAGGCTTCCAAACTCTCCAAGATTTTCGTTTGCAAATCCATCGCCAGTGTACTCACCGTCATTAACCAGACTCAGAAAGAGAACCTCAGGAAATCTGTAAGGGCAAGAAGCCTCTGATGTGCGACCCAAGAAAACTCGAGCCATGCACCAAGCTTGAACAGAACCTGAAGACCAAGAAGCAGCTGTGGAAAGCGTGGCTGTTTCCATTCCGGGAATAATGCGGTCAAGGCCTGAGCATCCAGGCATCAATAAAACAAGCAAACTGGCAAAAAAAAAAAAGTGCAATTATGAGTGCAAGTTACGTTAATGCTTTGTAGGTGTAAATATTAGTATATCGAGTTGTAACTACCACAATTTATAGGACAGTTCCTATTTTCTTGGAAAAATTCCTGTATATCACTTCTGTTTTTCGGTCTGGTATGCCTTAATTTAGTTCCTCACCATTTCTTACTTTGACAACTGCATTAAGCCTTTAAATTAATCTCCCTGGCCCTGCCTCTCCCACTATTTCTCCGTGCTGTTTTGGGTTTTTTTTTCAGAGTATACAAACTGGCTCATCATAACAATAATACCTAATAATTATTGAGCCCTAACTGCATGCTGAGCCACTAGGATATTAAAAAGCAAAGATAGCACTTTGCTGACAAAGGTCCGTCTAGTCAAAGCTATGGTTCTTCCAGTAGTCATGTATGGATGTGAGAGCTGGACCGTAAAGAAGACAGAGCGCCAAAGAATTGATGCTTTCGAACTGTCATGCTGAAGAAGACTCTTGAGAGTCCCCTGGACAGCAAGGAGATCAAACTAGTCAATCTTAAAGGAAATCAACCCTGAATACAATATACATTGCAAGGACTGATGCTGAAGCTGAAGTTCCAATACTTTGACCACCTGATGTGAAAAGCCGACTCATTGGAAAAGACCTTGATGCTGGGAAAGGTTGAAGGCAGAAGGAGAAGAGGGTGACAGAGGATGGGATGGTTGGATGGCATCATTGATTCGATTGTCATGAACTTGGGCAGTCTCCGGGAGGTGGCGAGGGACAGGGAAGCCTGGCGCCCTGCAGTCCATGGGGTCGCGAAGAGTCAGACATGACTTGGCGACTGAACAACAAATGGCAGGCTAGGTTTCCCAGGTGGCGCTAATGGTAAAGAAATAATGCCTCTCTTGCCAGTTCAGGAGAGGCAAGAGACACTGGTTCCATCCCTGGGTTGGAAAGATCACCTGGAGAAGGAAATAGCAACCCACTCCAGTATTCTTGCCTGGGAAATCCCATGGACAGAGTAACCTGATCCATGGCGTTTCAAAGAGTTGGACATAAATGAGCACACACATGCCCACCTGCTTGCTAGGCATTTTGCATACATTATGGTCTGAAAAAAAGTGCAGGACTTAAAAGTGCTGGTTTGGGGTCAGTCAGCCTGAATTTCAATCTCTGTTTACTTGCTTCATGTGCAGTCTTGGAGATTTTCATTTTATTCCTCTGTGCCTCTGTTTCTTGATCTATA